GCAAAAAGAGGAAGAAGAAGAGCGAACTTGTTGCTGCAGTTTGTGGGGTTGTACTGGCGAGAATTTGTTTCGCTAATAACTTTTCTTAGAATTGACCGAATTGAATAAAATTTTGAACAACAGTAGACAATTGTATATAAATTATGTGTGCAAAGTTTGGTAAATGTAGCATTTGAAATGTGGACGCTATTGACGAAATTCTGTAGCGGGGGAAGGGGGGGAAAATTCCAAAAAATAAAATAAACTCGTCCTTACTCGGACCTAGGAGAACCTGGATGCCAACTTTGGTTATTCTAGCTTTTATAGTTTCTGAGATCCTCGCGTTCATCCAGACGGACGGACAGACGGACAGACGGACAGACGGACAGACGGACAGACGGACGGACAGACGGACGGACATGTCTAGATCGATTTCTCTCGTCATGCTGATCAAGAATATATATACTTTATGGGGTCGGAGATGCTTCCTTCTGTATGTTACATACTTTGCACAAACCTAATATACCCTTTTTACCCTACGGGTACAGGGTATAAAAAAAGCTTCCACTCAATTCTCACTTTCTATCACACAAATATACGCAGAGCAAGAGTACTAAGATAATCGTCGATAATATTTAAAGGGATATAGGACGATATAGAGGGAAAGGAAAGAGACCTTACAATTGTTTGGAAAAGGTTTTTGTGGATGTTGCACAATTAATTTGATTCATGCACAGAAGCTTTGTATATTAAACGCCATGAGGGCGACAACAAAATGTGAGTCATGGACTCACGGCGAAGCCTAGGACATGAAACTTTTATGACGGACTAGACGAAGCTCGATGGTGAAGTCACGCTGAGACTGAGACTGAGACAAAGGACCAGATACCAGTGGGAAGTAACTAATGTGATGGCCGAGCAATGAAACCTATATTGCATAGTATGTTCCACACACAACAAGAGTCATGTAAGGCCATTTCCGGTGCACGCTTTCCAAAAACCTCCCAACCGAACCTTGACTGCTCAAGGAGGCTTGCCCCTTACAACTTTTTGTGTGCCTTCTGTAGAAGAAGGTCTTCAATGGAATTGATGACCATATATACTTATAGCCTGAACATTTTTGTATGTAGAACTTTAAAATTTAAAAGAGACAGCACAAGGCAGTGCTCTATAGGGCCGAGTGCGTGCTGCGCTCTCTATTCCACAAAATACAGTTTTTACAAGTATGGTGATGGTCCGATATCTGCAGCTCGAGCAATAGTCGCTTGTTGGTGCTGCTGCTATTCTCCCTAATCCGTTTTACTGATTCTCTTCGTCAGCTGATTTGCTCGCTTCTTTTTCCACTCCCACTTCTCAGTTTACTTTTCGTGCGAATTTGATGGAATTGTGGCGCTAGATGACGCATTCAATGCGTGTGGCTGCTCCGCCACACTCGTGCCACATAACGCGGGGGTTCTGCTCGCTTTGGGTTGTCAGTCGGGAAGGACAGCTACACAAATGTGCTTATCGTAGCTACAGAGGAGAAATAGGGGCAGAAACGGTATAAAGTGTAAAAGTCGTGGACAACACCGCAAATGCCAAGGCCGAACAACAGTGAACAGCACTCGCATGTATGTATATGAGTTAGTAAGTCTATACTGGGTGTAAAGTGTGTGTGTGTGCGAGTGCCATAATAAATGTTCAGCGGCAGCAGAGTCCTTACACAACTGCAACGACTACACACAGCATACGGTCAGACCTGCACCCGTATACTATATATATAAGTGTGTGCGTGTGTGTGTGTTTATGGGTGTCTGTATTTGCGCCATAAAAACAGCGGATAACAAGCTGAGAATGCTAGAGTCGCGCGAGTCCGATTGTCAGATACCCTCGAACCACCGACCTGAAGTCACCTAACAACTTTGTGTGGCACACGCACTCTGGCAAAAGTAGCAACAACAACCATGGACAGCGAAAAAGAGATACCGTAACACTTTGCTCTAGAGTTTCCCCAGTTATTGGAATTTGGAGGAAATTCCATGAAATGCTGCAATTACGAAACAAAACGCTGGCACATTTGCCCTTTGTCGAGCTCAGAAAAGCGAGTGTATTCCGTTTGGCGGTTCTAGCTTTTAAGCTTTCCAAGAACGTTACATTCACATAGTCGTGCATACAGATATAGCTTTTCAAGAACGTTTACATATATGGAAGTCTACCAAGCCCACTTCTGGGTGTTGAACACATTCGCACAAACATACAAGTATTTAGCACTTTATGCACAGGGTGTACAAATTCGCTAATGTGTTTCAATTTCACGTGACAGCCTTTGCCCAATCATCAGCTTTCGCTTTCCACACTACTTTACAAAAGAAAAACAGCACCTCGTGCCTAAAAGTGTGAAAACTCGAAGCTCAGCATAACGAGGTGGGTGGATGGTATTTTCCTATCGAATTCCGAAAGGTATAAATGCTACTTACCTCTAAATTGCTTAGCCGATCCCAGCTCATATCAGTGGGCTTTCGCCCACCTCCGAAATAAAGCAGATATTGTGCATTATGTACATATGTATTCCAAACTGGTGTCAACTCACCCTACCCTCAGTTTATCGCTCGGACCACAATCAGATATGTAGCAACATTCCAATAGATCTTCCGTCTTCTTCGGTATTTAAGATTCTGTTACGAAGGAAACATTATGATGTTTAATGTGCCAATAGACCATTTATTTCGAAAGTCTTCTTCGGGGCCCTCGAGATCTAATCAAGTCAAATGCAAATACTTATCAGAACAAATTCAAAGTCCATTTCATTTGGAAGCATTGGATTCCCAGGTTTTCGTTTGGCCTACAACTATTTTTATTTTGATTATCGAAACCGAGTATCTGTTGTTTACCTTTATGTCGATCGAATCGTTCACAGCTCTTGCGGGCAGATCCTTACCATCGCCATCACAACAATGGGTAAGAGTGAAGGCAATGGGGAGTCCATATTTATTTTGTTACTCATTTTGTTTGATAGTGTAACACACAACGGGTTTTCATGGGGAGGGAATGAGAGCAAGCCACCCCATAGATTGCGTTGATTGCCAAACAGAAAACAGCTGACTTACACACACACACACCCGCCAAGGGCCTCCCCAAACCACACTTGCATTCTCGCACACATTCCGACACTAACTGGAAGCTACGGTTTGCAGCTCTCAGCCCCACAGCTCTGGCATTTATTTGTGTTTGTTGCTTTCGCTTTTACAATTTATCGCGCTCTCCTCTCAATTGATTGAACTTGACCCATAAAGCCGAGCCAGGCGCTTTCTCACATGGCTGGCAATTTGCATATCACCGGACATACGAAATGAGGAGCCCTCCTCCCACAACTAAGTGTCTTCAATAGCTCTGGAAGGTCTTGAAAGAATGCGTGTATATAGAATTGGTTGAATTCAACCATTAGTTGACTGCATTCGTTAAATAATCGTATAAAAAATAAATACAACAAATATAACTTCAAAATCTCTGCCAGAAACTGTTTCTTACAAAATAATAATTGTTCAATTATTAATACAGCATACCTCAAAAATATTAAACTTTTCAATCCAATTAATACAAGTATTTCAAAGAACTCTTCCCGTAGGCAACCAATCGCTTTTAGAAATACATACATTTATTAAAATACACAATTTTCCAGGCAATTCTTAAAAGGAAAAGAAAATACAAATCCCAAAATAAAAGTAGAGAAATAAGATTTTAAAAATAAAGTGGCAGTTATATTTCAAATTAAGAAACATAAAAAACAAATACGATTATAATTTCAAATTATGTTTAAAAGTCAAGCAGTGGTAATGGTACCACTGCTTTGCCTACTACTACTGCTCTTATATACATGCCCACAAAGCTGATTGCACTGCTTTCTAGGCAATATGGCATTTTCTTACTTCGGTTAGCATAGCCACCAACCACCAAAACTGCTTTGTTTGTGCCATCAAAGACTTCAATGTGTTGTGCAGTTCTCAATGCATTTGTACATTAAACCTGGAATGTTGAAACTAAAAATTCGCATTGCATTCTTTAAGCTCAATTTTCGCACTTCGTTTCTTCACATCATGTTAAGGGTAAATTAAATACCAATATTTCGACTTAAAATAGGCAAAAAATGGACTGCTTGCACAATGTTGATTCTAAGCCTGCTTTTTGATATTTTGCCATTTTCAGCTTATTTCATTTATCATAGCCCAAAACCCTACTGCTTTTCAAAAGCTACCAGAGCTTTCAAACTACTTTTAACATTGAAAAGCCTTATTTCTCTTATTTTCTGCTTTTCTATCTGAATATATTTGTAGATCCTGACACGCGCATGTTAATGTACATGTCCATTCTATTTGTCAACTCCCTACATTATAAAACGCGGCATGGAAGAATATTATAGACCATTTTCTTGTTAGATACAGTTAACAGTTGTATAACATAACAAAGTTGGAGAAAGTCGCCCTTATCGCTTATATGGCAACTACATGAATTAGTGGCCAAAGCTAAACCAAACATTGGGGGAACAAAATATGCGTACAATCTAAATAACTTAATATTTACAATTAATGCCAAACAAAATTGAAAAAACGTGTATAAGTGTAGTACCCTCTAGAATCAGAAAGAAGCAGAAAGAAGAGCTGCCTCCGTTTCTCTTTTATGTGGGTCTTCCAAGTAGATAGAGCCACTACAATATACAATACCAAGTGACGATCTCCCGCTAAGTTGACTTCTATCCTCCATTTCCATTCCTTAACCATTTTCCGACCATAGTGAGTTATTCTTGTTGCTGTATTGCCAGCATGTGTCATTGGCAGATCAAACTGTTTAAATTGTATATAGTCGGAAAATATGGCGAAGCTCCAGCTCTAATAGAACACAGTATTGACTATTTATATCGTTAATAGAAATACATATATGCATTGATAGATCACAAGCCCAAAAGGAAACTAATTACAGTATGACTATATTTTAATTTAAGAATTGCATATTAATGTGTCGTTTTGTATTTCTTTTGTGGTTTGCAGCATCAGCAGAAATCAGCAGTTGGATTCTTCACCATTAGTGACGGAGCAACTGAACGCAAACTTATTGCCAGTTTTTCACAGCCCCTAGCTAGTTCCAATGAAGATGTATAGTTTGGTCGGGCGTCACAAGGTCAGCGTGTACTTGTTAATGTACACGATCGTGCTCATAACCAGTGGGGTGGACTGCAAATCGAAGAACAAAAACAAACCCTCACAGAACACTCACTACAGCGACAGTGGAGGCGGAGGCGGCGTTGGGAGCAGCAGCAACAATGATGATAAGCCGAAGGGCAATGGCGACGGTGGTCAGCACTTTGCCATGGAGCCTCAGGATCAGACTGCAGTGGTAGGGTCACGCGTGACTCTGCCGTGTCGCGTGATGGAGAAGGTCGGCGCACTGCAATGGACCAAGGATGACTTTGGTTTGGGTCAGCACCGGAATCTGAGTGGGTTCGAGCGCTACTCGATGGTGGGCAGTGACGAGGAGGGTGACTTCTCACTCGACATTTACCCGGTGATGCTCGACGATGACGCCAAGTATCAATGTCAAGTGGGACCAGGACCACAAGGGGAACAAGGCATACGCTCGAGATTTGCCAAGCTTACGATTCTCGTGCCGCCAGAAGCGCCTAAGATTCTACAAGGTGACTATCTGGTGACCACGGAGGATCGAGAAATTGAGCTGGAATGCGTCTCGGAGGGTGGCAAGCCGGCGGCCGAAATCACGTGGATCGATGGCCTGGGCAATGTTCTAACCAAGGGCATTGAGTACGTGAAAGAACCGTTAGCCGACTCACGCCGTGTCACGGCAAAATCCATCTTGAAGTTGGTCCCCAAAAAGGAGCACCACAACACGACCTTCACATGCCAGGCGCAGAACACAGCCGATCGCACCTATCGTTCAGCCAAGCTGCTGCTCGAAGTGAAATACGCACCCAAGGTCTCCGTCTCTGTGGTGGGCGGTGCCTTGGCCGGAGGTCGTATACCCGAGGGCGCTGAAGTCATACTTAGCTGTCAAGCAGATGCAAATCCGCGCGAGCTCAGTTATCGCTGGTTCATCAATGACGAGCTAATGACGGGCGATTTTACCACCAAAATGGTGAGTACAGTCCAAATACTCCCTTGCCGATCAAATCTATAGGCGTGTGTAAAACGTAAATATGTTCAGTTATCTTTAGTTGCAAAAATGAGGACCAGTGTGCGATTTCTATATGCTTGGCCCCAAAGAAAACAGACTGAGTTGGTCATTCTGAACGCTATTTAGTTCTTAAAACTAGGATTCCAAGCATTAAAGCCTCCAAAATAGATATAATCCTGACGCTGCTCTCCTTACGTTCTGCTTTGCTTCGCAGCCACTACAAACATGAGACGCCTTTTTGTGTTTTCCTTTCTTTCTTTTTATATATACTCGTATATAAGTAAGGAGTCTACCTGCAACTTTGGCCATATAGCAATACAATTAACTACTTCAATAACGCCAAACTTAACAAATATTCAAAAAAAGACGTCTTTTTCTTAACGCTAAAATATCAATTCTTCGTTCTGTCCCCAATAGATAATTCATAACGTAACGCGACAACATCACGATGCCATAGTCAAGTGTGAGGTGGTCAACGCGGTGGGTAAAAGCGAGGAGACCGAAACACTGGACATTAGCTGTAAGTATACCCGGTCTGGGTTCCTCTAGGTACGCATGTCTCAAAGCACTTTGCGTTTTATAGTTGGACCTGTGTTTCGACAACGACCTGTGAGTGTGGAGGCTGATCTGGGAGCTTCGGTGGCCATGCGCTGTGAGGTAGATGGCAACCCTACGCCCGAAATCGAGTGGATCAATGAGAACTCAGATAAGGTAAGCAAACATTTCCATTTCTACACAACAGTCTTATAATATCACGTCTATGTTTTATTCAGATCGTTGGCAACTCACCCGAGCTCAAGTTGAAAGTAAGCACAGAATCAGCAGGTCGCTACTTCTGCAAAGCCGTGGTGAATGGCTTTCCCGAAATCGGGGCTGAGGCTACCGTCTATGTGAAACGAGCACCCATCATCACCTCCCATAAGGTGCAGTTCGGCGCCGTTGGAAATCGTGCCAAGATCGACTGCCTGGCCTTCAGCATACCAAAGGCTGAGCACATTGTCTGGTCCTACGAGGGAAAGGTGATCAACATGAGCACCGCCGATCCGGACCTATATATTTTCGAAGAGCATCATTTGCCCGAGGGTGTGCGCGCTGCGCTGATTATCAAGGAGAGCCGATCCAATCATTATGGCAAATATAACTGCACTGTGGTCAATTCGTACGGGAGTGATTCGCTGCTTATCACACTCGTTCCGGAGCCCGGTTCGATCCCAGTCTTGATCGTCGTCATGGGCTCCATGTCCTTGGTGGCTATTGTTCTAATGGTAGTTATGACTGTGATTGTCTATAGAAAGCGTAGTCGCAAGAAGCCGATGCCCGCGGATGTCATTCCAGAAGCATCGCGTGGCGGCGACAAGCTCAACGAACTCAAGAGTGAATTGCGCGCCAAAGCCTACGATGTGGAATACTCAGAGGCCGGCTCAGATGGTCTGGCCATCAATCTGACTCACACACCCATGCCGGATGTGCAGATAAAGGGCGCCACCCTTGGTGTTCCGCTGGCAGGGCCGGTTAAGTTCGACGAGCGATTTTCGGGTGATTTTAGCGAACGCTACAATCGCCAATGTTTTAACAAGAACATCAAGAATCAGCAGGATACCTACAAGGAGACAACAGGCAACGGCTATGCGCCTTTCTTTGAATATGCTCTAGACTACAGTCCCCCCGCGGACAACAGCAAGCCGATGTCCAAGGCCTGCATCAATTCGGCCACACTGCCTCATTATGCAGTCAATGCTACGACTACGTCAGCCGCCACAGCCGTAGGCATGAGCAGCACCGGGGGCAGCGGCAACTCTACTGGCAACATGAGTCTGCCGCGCAATACTCGCAATGAGCTGCAGCAGCAGCACCAACAACAGCAGCATCAGCCACAGACCAATGGCTTTTTGGGTAAGATTGGGGGAAGGCTGAACTTTCGAAAATACTCGCATTGCTATATATTCCTATAAGGGTTGAAGATAATGCCAGAATGTCAAAATGCCAAATATATGTATCAGGTTATCGGCATGACAAGACTTTCCGAAGGTTCCAACTTTGGAACCATAACAGCTAGGGACACCACACTTGGTATGAAGACTTGCCTTCATCAGTACTCAGAGCAAGGAAAAACTTTTTCGGTTTTCGTTTCGGTTTCGGTAGTTTCAACCCATATCAATAAGTTTCTTACAAATCGGGGAAAAGGCAGTTGCCAGCAGGCGACATTGCGTTGATATCTTCGTATCATCTAATCATGCTTCTTTTATATTCTTTTTCTTGCTTACAGGCCAACCACTGCTGCAGAATGGCATTGACAGCCGCTTCAGTGCTCATTATGGCAATCCCTACCTACGCACCAGCTCATCCATTTTGCCACCGCTGCCGCCACCGAGCACAGCTAATCCGGCAGCCACACCCGCACCACCGCCCTATCATGCCGCCCGGCATGCCAACAGCAACGGCGGCCTAAAGCATTTTGTGGCCGGGACCAGCAATGCCAGCAGCTTGGTGGGCAGCATTGGCGGAACTGCTGGCGGAGGCGCCGGCGGAGGCGGCGGTCCCGGCAGTGTCAGCGGCAGCAGCTCCAATTTGACAGCCAGCAGTAACACCTTGGCGGCCACGCCCCTCACACAGCCAGCTGCACTATGCGGACCGCTGGTCGGGGGAGCGGCGAGCACGCTGCCCACCACCAGTGCGCAGAGTCCCTCCGGGCAGTTCATACTACCCACTAATGGCAAGGGCGTTACGCAGAAGGGTGCGCTGGCCACGCATGTCTAAGACAGACCCGCGACTGTACCCACTTTTTTTTTCTTATAAATAAGATGTTAGTAAATTCGAGTGCATACAGAGATATACACATAGTACGCGATACTTGCATGTACTCGTTTAGCATAGTATCAGAACTTTATTATACCGTTAGATCGTAGTGCGCATATCATATGTACTTCAAAGTCGAAGTCAAAGTCGAAGCAGATCGTGTTGAGGTTTAGCGTCTAGTGCAATTAGAGGGGCTTCAGCTCATGCCGAGTAATGAAATTGTTTGTATGTATTTGTATTTATGTTTCTTTTCGTGGGCTGAGGATCTTAAGAATTCGATTATATAAAAACCGTATTGTGATTTATAGCGTTAATTATTTTATTGCGAACTCGTCTAAGGCTCGAAAAGCAAAGGGTTAGGGAACGGGAAGGGAGGGGAGGGTTGGGTTGGGTTGGGTTGGGACAAAGCAAGTGAAGCAAATACTTATATACCTAGTGCAAATTTTAAGGCATCACATACTTGTATGTATAGTACTCGTATACTCGTACACGAGTGTATCAAGGGTCAATGAGTGCTCCACAATGGGGCAGGGTAAAGTAAATCAATTAACGAAACGTATCGAAAGTAAAACTTACAAAGTTCAAGTTTTAGTTAATTAAAAGCAACAACAAAAATGCAAAAACGAACAAAAAAATAAATTAATTAATTATCAAAAATTGTAAAAACGAAATAGAAAATGCTTGTAGTTAGTTCCAAATACAAAACAAAATTTGCAGCCGAAACATTTTCAAAGCCAAAATTTACCAAATTCTTAGACATTCGAACGAATCGAGTCGGGTCGAGTCGAGCCGAGCCGAGTCGAAGAGAAAAGAACTAAAGCAAATTCTCTAGTAAATTAGACATTTTAAAGTATAAATTGAAAAGAAAATAAAAAACTCTGCAGTACGCTCCGCAATCACCCGCGATTCGGCTCCAAAGTTGTTAAAACATATCTTCGAGCACTGACAGTGAGCCAAGCAGGCAAACATATATATATAGAATATACATTTTAAAGCAGTACGTATCGAGCCTGATGGCCTAGGAAGGCATTTAATGAATGCACTCACTTAGCTGAGTCACAATTTTATGCCATCACATTTCATTAACACCAATTCAGTCCAAATGATAAAGTGCAAATGCATTGATACAACGTACGACTTAACTCGCTCTGCTACACAAATGAATGCACTCACTAAGCGAAGCGAGTGTCGGCATTTAATGTCATCACTGCTCACTCCAATTAGTACCAGATCATCGCTGTAGTGAAGCTATTGAATCATGCAGGCGGTACTTTATTTCAAACATTGTACAAGTATACTTCTTCTCAGTGGGAACTCAGTGTGTGAACAAATATGTGCGCACTTCGATTTGCATATATTTGGGAATAAAGTGCGTTAGTCAAATGAATACATTCACTAAGATAAGTCACTTCCGGCTTGTTATGTAAATTCGAGTGTACAACCATTACTCACTACGACTACAATGAGTAACAGATCAACACTGTTGTATAGCTATCGAATAAATCGAATCATTCAAATGGTACTTATGTATGTACGTACATATTTGCAGGTAATGAAGGGCTCGTTAAATACTCAATCAGTTCAGTTAATCAACTCATACATTTTATACATAATTCTTCATCATTTCGAATGATAAATAATAAAAATATATATAGAATGAGTGAGAACTCAGTGGGCGTCAAGAACTGAGTGCACTCGTGCCCATAATAATGTACAGTCACCATTTTGGGCCGGATCGTGCAAAGAAGTAGAAGAAGCAGAATCATGGAATAACATTTAAAGTCTCTAAGCCAAGCGTTAAGGAAACTAATAATAAATTTATGTCATTTACATATATGTAAAATAAAAACGAAATAAATGAATATACGTTTATCGCATATCTGTATGTAAAACCAGCCAGTTTAACGCTTAACGTAATTTACTAATAAAAATAAATATACATAATGAAAAGATATTTCAAAAAATTTATATATATACATATATAGTATACAAAAAAGTCTTAAAAATAAACTATACACAATATTTTTTCTGCATAGTTAATTCATCAATAAACGACAAGTAAATACATGTTTAAGGTAAACACCTTAGCGAAATTATTAAACACAATTGGGCGAAAATTCTACAAACAAACAAAAACCAAAAAGCCAATAAAAACAAAAACCCTAAAGCGAAAAATTTCAAACACAAAATGCTGCCTTATGATTCCATGTGAAGTTTGTTGCATTCTTAAGTTACACGATGTATGTATATTTAAGCGAATACTGTACTTATTATTGTATATTTTTTAATAAACACATATACATACAGGCACAAAGCGACAAGGATATATGTACATTATCCTCGGTCTGCCGAAGACTATATACCCTTTCAAGCGCTCTTTTTGTGATTGGTGCCCGATAACAATTGGAGGTAACAATTTGGAGGCTTTTCACTTAATATAGGCATTTCAATTTACGATCTATTTATTCCATCTATGTAAGCGGTATTGGTTACATTTCAAATACATACGAACTTTTTCTAGCAAACAGAATTTCCCAATCCAGCATTCATATTCAAATTCGGTGTCTAATTTATTTCCGGCTTTCTTAAGACACCCTCCAAAAGGTATGGTTTTGTCACTGTTTTAAGGAAACGACAAGGCCTCAGATACAATGGTCCGACACAATTATATGCGGGCAATATCCCAAAAGCAGTATAAGTATAAAGAAGTTTGTGGGGTCTGAAAAACACTTGTAAGGGTATATACGTAATATTAAAATTGCTTAAAGTTTTTTGGTCATAACTCTTTTTGTATAGGGCAAAGGTGTATTACGTTTTGTTGTAGCTATTTGCAGAGCTTTCAAGTCAAGCTAAGGACATTTTTTTTAGAACGCAACATACTTTTTACGTAAGTTAAGAGAGATCAAACGATTCAATAACAATTTTAATTGAATGCAAGACAAAACACAAAAACAAAACAGAAAAAGAAATCCTATTAAGCCAACTAAATGATAACTGAAATTTATGTGAAATGAAGTTGAAATGCAATTAAAACAAAAAAAAACAAAAAACAGATATCCAAACGCAAGCGAAGTGCACAAGTTGCGTATAAAATGAAAATGATTTAATTGAAAACCTAAGAATGAAAGATGAAAACTCAAATTAGTTGAAATAAAGTAAATAAAACAAAACTGTTATTGTTCTGGGGTGCACTAATTACCTTCCTATACCACCGACCTTTGGAAAGGAAAGGACTGCTTTGTGTAAAATGCATCTTTGTGACAAACGAATGAATTGAAGGACTAGCTATGGATATTATATACAAGTACATCCATCCGATCAAAAAAAGTTAAACCCATCTGTCGCATTCATTTTAAGTTTGTCGGGCTGTGTCAATTTGTTTGTGTTTAGCAGCTATTTGTGTACGAGGCGTGAAGTTTTTCTGGCGGCACGAAATTGGTACCCGTTTGGTTCTAATCTTCTGTTCCTATTGGATTTACGAGTACGAAGTCATTTCAACTATTGCGGAATTGTTTTGGGGAGTCTACTCTATCGAGAACGCAAGTGTTTGAGTTGCATGAAGGGTCCAACGAATGTCATGGGGTCGTAAAAAAGTTGCATCATATAAGTCGCCCATGCACCTATGTTAACAAGGATCATATCGGAAAAGCGAAAGAGCTTGTAAGGAAGATAGCAGAGAGTCTCAAGATTTCTTATGGATCAAGTAACCACATTTCGGAATGAAGCAACCACAAAACAAAACTCAGGAATACAGGGGAATACACCATGAGTCGATAAACGCCAGAAAGCGTAATTGGCTGAAGGAATTAAAGGCTATTCCGCCGACTGGCAATGTATAGGCAAACATGAATTCCCTTTCCATACTCTCTTAACAGCACACATTAGAGCGCACACAAATCGGATGCGAATTTATGCAATTGAAAGAGTACATTCAAAATAATATTAGAATATTGTGCGTGGTACCAAAGACAAAATATTAAGCTATGGCCACCCAGGCACTTCAAAAATGCTGAATGCTGAAACAAAGTTCTCTGCTACAGCAAACCTACTAAGGAAATACAGAATTCGTGGGTAAACTATTTGCGGCTGACCGAGCTTCTTAAGTATCGGGACAGCCCATAAAATTAATAATAAATATTCATGCGCTTTTTAAATATTACTCTGTTATTTTATTGACACGCAGAAAACAATTACATATTTTAAAATCGTACGTCATTAGCTTTTTTTCTAAAACAATTAAATACAATTTATTAAACCAGTATTCAGCTACCAATATGCATAAGCTAGTTGAAAATGAATGGGGAAGACAAGAATTGTCCAATGAGTAAATATATACATAGAACACACTTAAATCTATGTAAATATACAATGCAATATTTAAATATTTTTAAAAATAAATAGGGAGATCCTTCGGATGGCACTCCTTTAATCTTCTCTTCTTGGGTCTGGAGAGCAGCCGTCTCGCTAGTGAGTTGAGGTGGCTACCGAGTCGCTTCTCATAATAAACACTATAATAACATATCAAGGATTGTAATAAAGTATGTTTTCGAATGAAAATAGTTGATAGATTAACTTTTTACTTATTCTTTTACATTTAAACAGTTTGCAATTGTTTGCGTAGAACAGATTTTGCGATATAAAATATAAAGCGCTAGTTTTTTGCGAATAGGTATCTATATTCGAAATCGACTAGTCGATTGCAGCAGCACTCTGAAGCCACGAATGCCATCACTAGTGTCGGCTCAAAGAGGAAAAAAAAAAGAAAAACAAGTAATTGCTGGGTAGCAGCCATTTTGAAATTAAAAGACGAACAAAAGCAGCAACGGCGGCGTCGACTGCACACATGCGCAAAAAGCAGCGCCACAAAATAGCAGCAGGCCATAGCAACGACAACGACAACCACAACGACACAACAACAAGCAAACTCAGCGACACACACGCTCATAAACATAAGTGCAGAGAGAAAAAGAGAGCGATCCACATGTAGTAAGCGCAAAGAGCGACTGTAAGAGAGTTAATTATTCCGTTAGTCTTATTTTGTTTTCTTGGGGTTCAGGTTCAGCGATGTTGCTGAGCGTGAGCGCGGCTCAAAGTGTTGCGAGTCGCCAAACGAGACGGATACATGCGGATAGTTGAATGCACTGTTATTCCATGGATTTACTTTTTTTTGTTAATAACTGAAGTGAAGTGTGTGTGTATGCGAGAGAGGTGCAAGACAGCAAGGAAAGGCGCATCGACAATATGGCGCCCAATGCCGCCGCATGTGAAAATTGCATGCAGGAGAATATAGAAGCTACTTCGTGAAAAGTGTAAAGATCAAAAATCGGTCGCATATAATAAATAATTAAGTATAGGGTGCTGTTTAAAGAAGTGGCATTTTATATCACTTTTTTTTGCATTTTTTTTTCAAACCGAAGTGCCTGCGGGCAGACAACAAAAAGCAGATAATTTTTGTGTCCGTGTGTGCGTGTGCGAAAATCAACCAGCAACAACAACGTTCTGTGAATGTATTGTTGTGTATTTCAACATTATCTTTTCGGGTGTGTGTATACATATGTACATACTTACATGCATGCACACATACATACATATGTGCGTGAAAGGAAGCCACAGCGGCAACGGCATCGACAACCGTTGTTAAAATTTGAATAATTCACTATTTTGTTTTTTGTGTGCTTTTCGGCGGCGCGAAAACGCGCAGCGTGAAAATAATGTCGTCGTCAACAGCAGCAGCAGCAATCTCGCTGCATTTGAGAAACGATAGTTCCGTTAGCGTGCGAAATTTATTTGTTCTTGTGATGAGCAGCTACAGCAATGAAATCGTGCTGCAAAATACATAACGCGAATATAATATTATAGTATTCCTTATTTTGGAAACGTGCGTCAAAATAATAATAATAAAAACAAGAAAAGAAATAAATGAGTGGTGTGCATATACACCCACATACATATATACATAAAATTGAATTGAAGTGTTAAGTGCATAAACTACACACATACACATACCGCACACATATACAACATACACAGAGAAACGCGACTGCAGCAGCAAACCAAAACTAACCAGCAACGAAAAAAGATAACAACAATACTCGCCACATTAAACTGGATAATGCAGCGCAGCGTTCGACGTTGCAGCGCTGCCTACTGCCACAGAGAAGGCAGAAAGAGCAACAACAGCAACAGTAGCCGCACACAAACTTGGATTAAAATGCTTACGGTTGCGTTGCTGTTTCTGCTGGCGTCTGCTAATTTTGGCGTCGTTCATGCAACGGGTAAGTTTTATTATTAACTGCCAGCCTCCCTTCTTTTCTACGTTGCGAAAAAGTGGTATTCCTGAAATCCATTACAAATTTAAAAAAAGCGACGGCACAATCATTAACGAAGCGTTCAAAATAAAACATGAATACCCTAGAGTATTATTGAATAATACTAATATGTAACCAAATGTTCTGCAGGCCATCTTGAAAATTTAAATCAACTATCGGGTTGATTTCTTACAAAAACTATTACTTTGCAGAATCTGCATTTGTTAATAGGTGTTCGAAAAAATCCATTTAAAATAAAAATCAGTTGCAGAAATTCCACGGAAGTGCATTCCCAAAAACATATTGTACTCGTATGTATGTACATACATACATACATACATATGTATGTATGTATGTACATACATACATACATACATATGTATGTATGTATAAATGTTGTTGCTGCTCAATTTCATTAACTACACGTATTCTTCTTGTTCGTTGCTTTTCGTTTTACTTCTTTTTTCATTTTCCTTTTTGTTCCAATGTGCTGCATTTACTTCATTTCGCTTTTCTACGCTCTATGCTGCTCCTGTCTTCGTCTTCGTACGACTTTGGACAGGTGGTCGATCATTTCGGCTCGTTTCATTCCATTCGTTCATTTGTTTAAGGTTTCTCTTACTCTCTTATATACGCGCTCTCTCTCTCGGTCTCTCTATCGCTGCCGCCACCATGCTCAGATTTTTGTGTGCGCACCTTTAACTTGTTTCCCATAGTTTCGTCTTTTGCCATCGGCAAAGCTGCCTTTGTGGCGGCCTCTTAGTTTTTTCTTTAACGCCAATTTTTCCTTAGCTTTGTACCAACACGTATGTATAAATGTATTTACTGTATGTATGTGTATGTATGCATACACACATGTACACAAATGTATGTACATATGAACATGTATGCCTTCAAATATTTGTTTACCATCGGGCAACTTCCTGCCGGTTGTAAAATTGGTCTGTAGTAACCGTATTAAAATGTGCTGCGAGTATATGTGTACACACATCCATGTGTATGGTATGTACATACCAATGTAGCATAATTAACATTAATTGTAGTCGGTTGTGTATGCATGTACATACCTATGCACATATTTACCAAAAATGATTGTCCCAACGCTCTTGTCAATAATGCCTCGATGTTGTCGACTTTTGCTAGCTATTGATTGTGTGTATCCTACATAGATACACATGCGTACATATATGTATATAGACATGCACATACACAAATACATGCTGGTAAATATGTAAAGATGCATATACATACATATGTTGTGCTGTTGTCGCCATGCAACGAAACTCCAAGAAAATGCTTGAGCACATATTTGCATACATATGACCGGCTCTCCCTGCTCTTCGCCTGTCTGCTCTTGTCTAATCATTATGTCAACATTTGGGCCTTAAAAGTTCATTTGCTTTTGGTGGCAATTGTTAGTTGGCGTGCGTTTAGGGTTTGCCATCCTTTTCAAATTCCCCGAATTGACAAAATTGTCGGTTCTAAATTGAAATGGAGCAGTCGCTTCAAGTGATTTACATTTGTATATAAATACATATGTATGTACATGTAAGCATATATTTTTCAGACTTGATAAGTGCGATCAAACATAAAAAACAAAACAAAAACATTATTACTTATCATCCTCGTCAAGCTGTATATTAACGCATAGAAATGTCATAATTTATTTTTTTATGAAATATAAACTCTCGGACTCTGTCCCATTGTCACCCGATCTAAAAGTAAGCACATTTTAGCAGACTATTGTTCAAGATTAGGTATTTCCAAATGATGGAAACCATTGAAATAAGAGATATAGTATATTTCATTGTGGAACACATTATAGAAAATCTCTTAAATAGTTATTGGAGAGAGCTATATGCCAAATTTTGTAAATAAAAGATATTGTGTTTCAGGCCCAAGCATAAAAAAAGTCGAAAGTTAAATACTATCCATACTTCTAAATTACATTTTGCGCAAGTGATTTTTAGGTATTCATTATCTCTACCTCAAAATCAGTTAGTCCTAAAAAATAGCAAATTAGCAAAACAATTTTATTCCACTATGTGCCACTATGGTGCTTCTGCTATGAAAAGTAGTATTGTCGGACTTGCTCGCACATTAAATGTACTGGCTTAGTGTGAATGTATGCAACACACAAAAGGAGAGGCAGACGCCCGCCCTCCAAAGTATACATATGTCATGTGTATTAACGAAAGGATCTTAGAAACTAAAAGGTAGAATGATCAAATTTGGTACCCAGATTCTCCGAAGAATTTTTTACTCAAAATTGACAATTACAACCAGTTAGTGCTTATCTGCCATCTTCGTAAAAATAGGCAAATTTTTAAGAAAGTTATATTAATATAAACTCTGTACTGCACACACGCACAGACACAAACTTATGTTTTAATGTGCTGAGATTTTTATTTATTTATTTAAAATAAATTAATTACAAAAATATTTGTACTTTTTTAAGGATATATACGATTTGGGCCTGCTCAACTCTGCCTTTACATTTTTGTTATAAATATTTTTAATAATTTCAGCAGGGCGTTGCCCCTCGCTTCGATCTGCGCACGAATTAAACGGCCATTTCCCCTTCCTGGCTGTCCAATCATGTGAATTGAATTCATCAAAAGATATTTTGCTTGATCTGCACTTTTAATGCATTCGAACCTCAAAGAAGTGCAGCACTTACAAGCCATAACAGTCAACAGCCGCGCACTAAATCGAGGCCGAATTGGTCAATAATTTTGCTACGTTTTCCGTTTGTACTCGTAATAAAATATACATACATACGTGGTGTTTTGTTATTATGTGATTGAAATGTAAGCTCAAAATAAATGGTGATATTGTCCTTCCCATTTTTAATTTTGGTTCGACAACGCCCCAAGCCAGCTTTTATCAAAAACGTCAGTGTATGTCATACATGGGTGAAATTTAAATAAATTATCAAAATATAAAAGTCATTATAAGCAGGGTTTTTTTTATAAAAAATAAGGCTTATAGTAAATATACAATTTCTCAGTTAATAGTATTTATTACTTATTTCAAAATATCTGAATTCAATACTAAACGAAAAACTGTGTTCTTATCATAATTTCGCTGTAACTCTATCAATATTTAAAAAAAGTATATTTGAAATGCAGGTGCTGATAATTATTTAGTAATTTTGCACCTAAACGGTCTATATCTATCAAAGTTTTGAAGTCTCTTTTTGAGAAAATAGAATAAGCCGTTTCACCAATTTACAATTATTTTCATTATGGTTTTTTGAGGTCAAAGCATTACATATGTGCATATACATATATATGTATGTATTTTGGGAAGTGGGTGCGCCTGCGCAGGTCTGTCGACTGACCGACCACTGGCTCTGAATATCCCTACTTCGCGCGTATTTTCTCTCTACCGCGAGTCTGACGCTTTGTAACGGTTTTGTTCAGCAACCTCGTTGGAAATGAAGTTGGTGGTTGTTGTTTTTGTTGGTTAGAAAAACGACAGCTGGGCGACGGCACGGAAACATCGGCACTCAAGGCAACCCCTAGCTAGCGTTTTTGTTGGCATATTGCACTGTCGCAGGGGCTGAAAGGCAAGTAGAGAGCGTAATTTTTTGCCCTCTCTATTGCTCTCGTTCTTCCGCTTACTCAAAGATCAAATTACGATAAGGCAAAAAAACATATACACACAAGCATACTGGCTCTGGCTGCCTGCCTTCCCTAGGTAGAGGACTGTTCGGTTCGAAACAAGTTCCACTCCACTTAAAATGTTATCTGCGTATCTCCCTTGCCTCTCTTCTCTGTCTCTTTTCCATGTCGTGTTTCTCTGCCTACTTTGTGCTGCACTTTAGCACGCTCCTTCTCACACACAATTTCCTGTCCCTCGCTTTATCCTGCAACCTACATTTTGACTTTGCCTAAATGCTTAGAGAGGCTAGCATTCATACTCGTCTACGGAGATATGTTTGTATGTATGTATGCACTACACGAGTATACACATCCATTTGTACGCGTAACAAACATTCGTATACAGACATAGAAGTATAGTCCCAAATACATAATGATTTTCCTTTTCCTTATTTCAGGCGCTAATTAACTAAAAATATATTGGTCCCTCTTCTCGCGATTCCTCTTAAGAAATTGTGAGAAGCGAATTTAATTGAATTAAATTTCTATAAATAACACTTTAAATATTATCGTATCGGCCTGTCACATTTATTAATTAATTAAAGCCGCCAAAGTACTTACCTCCAACTATTTACAGTTTTTAACTTTCTCAGGCCTTAAAACATGAGTGCTACCGAAAATATGTCGTCGCAATTACCTCCGGACCACAGCACTTTGCTGCTGCTGCTGTTTTCTCTTCCCTACTCTTTTTTATTATAATTTTTTAATCTTTTTTATCATGGCTGCGCAGTAAGTTGATACCATGTGTAGCAGTTGGCCAGCCTTAAAGACCTGTAAGCCAACGCCAAAAGATGTCCTGGCCTACATGCGTACCCTTATGTACATACATATGTGCAGATATGTATGCATGTGCATTCGTTAATGTTTGTGTTCATGTTACTTGATATGTACATTGAACTTTGCTAAATTATTGTAAACCAACATATGGTACGAAGCTCTTTGTGGCAAATACCGCAGGAAAATTAACCCAGAATTTGTTTAAATATATACATAGCTTATTTTATGAAATTTCGAACAAAACAATGTATGTATAGTACCTATACCCGTATACTATACATTGTTAAATGGAAACTTTTCTAAAAGATAAATCTTAAAAATCCAATGAAATATATACATACACATGTATGTATGTATGCTTCTGAAACTCGTGCTTTCGACTAAAATTGCAGTGCCGTTTGTGGCGACCAGTTCAGTTCCAGCGTCCATACAACGATCCTGTTTTTTCATGATTTCAGCGAACGTCTTAAATAAACGAGTGAACGAATGAACCAAGTTGGTCGGATCGACCGGCTGTGGCACTTT